GCAGCAGATTTGCCTAATGCAATATGTCATTTGATTTCTTGACTGCTGCCACGTGCCTCTGAGTCTTAGGGTTCTCATTAGCAGAGCAAAAGGCAACTACGCCCCCTACATCTTGAGGCTGTACTGAGGACAGATGAGAGGGGGCTTCCATTTTACCAATGCGTGGTGGTGCCTTAAGAAAGCACTATTTTTCTTTTCTTCCCCAAATGAACTAGGTGAGGGGTAGATTTACTTGCTAGAAAAGAGCACTGCTTTGAGAGTTAAGAATCCTTGGGGTTTTGTTGTTCTCGCTCTGTAGTTTGCTACCAGACAGAACCAATTCTAGAATCCTTTCTCAGTTCTCTCACCAGCTATGGGATCTTGGAGAAGTCATTTGACTTCTCTGGACCTTTGTTTCCTCATCTGTGAAATGGGATACTAATAGTACTTGGACTCCTGCTGGGGCATTGTAGGATCAGCACTGTACTGTGAACCACAAGGCTGGCAGTTCAAACCCACCAGCTGATCCTCGGAAACCCTGTACAGTCAGAACTACAAGTCAGAACTGACTCGACAGCACTTCACAACAGCAATACTTGGGAATTCCGGTCTGGTGCTGTAGGATAATGCCCTGGACCACAAGATCAGTTTGAACCGCAAGGTCGGTGGTTCAAACTCGTTAGCCACTCCTCAGAAACCCTACACAGGGTCGCTATGAGTCGGAACCAACTCGAAGGCACTTGACAATAACAACAATAGTGCTTGGTCAGGAGCCCTAGTGGTGCAATGGTTTAAGTGTTCAGCTGTTAACTGAAAGATTGGCTGTTCGAACCTCCCAGAGGCTCCATGAGAGAAAAGACGTGGTGATCTGCTCCTGTAAAGATTAAGACTGGAAACCCCTATGGGGTCGTTATTGAGTCAGAATTGACTTGCCAGAACACAAGAACTTAGCAGTTATAGGATCTGCCAAGGTTGGGTCATCACTCCTCTCTGGACCAGTACTTTCTCTTGGTTTCTTGAGAAACTATGTTTTCAATGCCTGAAAGACTCTTCTAGGCGTGGTGTTGTTCTTAGTAAACCCTGACCCATGGAGCAGCCCCAGGTGCAGAGGAAAACTGGTTTTCAAGTCTGTGACCATTCCGAAGCACATGGCCAAGCTTGTCTGCCAAGGTGCCTCTAGGTGGGTTCACACTGACTTCCTTTCAGCTAGTAATCAAGTGCTTAACCATTTATGCCAGTCAGTTACATTGATTAGTGAGGAAAAGTCCCCATCCTCTTGGAACTCACAATTCATGTCATTGGCATCAAAATAAACCATTCGCCTCTGACTGATTCAAGGATTCATTCTTTTCATTTTCATTAAGTGCATGAACAGGTATTTGGAATTTCCAAATCCCCATATTTTCTGGAAGGCATGCTGGACATTTGTTACCAAGTTGGGGACTAGTTCTATCTCTTTATTTCACTTGTTGTTGTTGTAAAGTGCCATCGCGTTGGTTCCGAATCATAGTGACCCTGTAAAGGACTACCAAGGAGTAGTTGGTGAGTTTGAACCACCGACCTTGTGGTTCACACTGACCTTTCAGTCCAGTGCTTTATCCCACAGTGGTTAGCAGTCCAATGCTTACTCTACAGTGCCACACCAGGACTCCAATTATATCTGCTCTTTAATGGGGGAAAGGGTAATTCTCTGGCATTATCATACACTTTCAGGTCTTTCACAGAGAACTTCAAGGAGCCCTGGTGATGTAGTCATTGGGTTAAGATTGGGCTGTTAATCAAAAAGTTAGTTGTTCAAAGCCACCAACAGCTCCTTAGGCTGTCTCCTTCTGATTCCAGCCTTGGAAACTATGGGGGAGTTCTTCTTTGTCCTTTAGGGTCGTTATGAGTGGAAACTAACTAGATAGTAGTGGGTTTGTTGCCAGGTGTTTGTTTTTTAATACAAGGTTCCCCACACCCCCAGAATCTCCTATAACATCGCTTCACAGGATTTTCTGTGAGTAGGACACAGCCCGTGCTCTGTTCCCTCTTTAAACGCAAGTTAACTGAATTAACCAGTGATATACAGAAGACATAAGCTGGCTTGCTAAAAGCAAAGAGGACTTGAAGCACTTACTGATGAAAATCAAATACCACATCCTTCATTATGGATTACACGTCAATATAAAGAAAACAAAAATCCTCAGAATGGACCAATGATCATCATGAAAAACAGAAAAGGTTGAAGCTGTCAAGGATTTCATTTTACTTGGATCCACAATCAACCCTCATGGAAGCAGCAGTCAAGAAATCAAACAAGTAATTCACTGGGCAGATTGGTTGAAAAGACCTCTTTAAAGTGTTAAAGAGAAAAGATGTTGATTTGGATGTGTTATCAGGAAGGACAAGTCCCCAGAGAGGACCTCATGGCTTGCTAAAGTGGGTTGATGAAAAAGAGGAAGGCCTTCAATGAGATGGATTGACAGTGTCTGCAACAATTGTGAGAAAGTCGTAGGACGTAGAATGTTTCCATTCTGTTGTACTTAGGGTCGTTAGGGGTCGGGACGACTCGACGGCACCTAACAACATTCATATGAATCATTCATAGTATCCATAAGACCCCCGGAGCGCCAGGCTGGAATGGGATGTGCCAAATAGGATTGGGCGCTGCTTGTCGCCCACGCCCTGGTCGCCCTCGGCGGTGGGCGAGCATTTGTGATCAGGCAGCAGAAAGCTGGGGCCCACTGGAAAGAGGAAGGAACCAGCCAACCCCGCAGCTCCAGGCTCACCCGCAGGCGGAGCTGACAGCTCTCTGACAGCTCACGCTGTAGGGCCACGCCCAGCAACGCTCTCCATGGCAACTAGAACTTAGCAACGGCACCGCCACTGCCACGCCTTACTCAGTCGCGACGAGGATGCGTCACCGCGGCGCGCCGGAAGTTATGGTCGCTGCAGGCCGCAACCCCGGAAGTGTTGGTGGAGTTGTTTTGGCTGCTCTCATCCCCAGCTTACTATGGGTTGCGACGGAGGAACTATCCCCAAGAGGCACGAACTGGTGAAGGGGCCCAAGAAAGTTGAGAAGGTAAGCTATGCGAGCCCGATTGGGCGCGGGGGTGGTGGGGAATGTGGACTCCTCCAGGGCGGAACGGGAGACTGGAAAGGGGGAGCCGGCGGGATTCCACACCCAGATACGCTTGTTTGTCCATTTCAAGACGTCGAAATTCACAACAGTGTTTGTAATTTAAGGAGTTCTGGTATGGCCCTGTGGGTTAATGCTCTGGACTGCAAAGTCCGTTTGAACCACATGGTCGGCGGTTCAAGCTCACCAGCCTCTCCTCAGAAACTCTATATAGGGTCGCTATGGATCGGAACCGACTTGACGGCACTTAACAAAAACAACAACAGTAGTGTAGTGGTTACGAGTCGGGCCCACCCTGTTGGTAGTTTCAACCTCAAAGTCAGCAGTTCGAAACTACCAGCGGTTCTGCGGGAGAAAGATGAGGCTTTTTGCTCCCGTAAAGATTTATAGCCTTGGAAACCCTGTACAGGGTCGCTATGGGTCGGCACCAACGCCACGGCATATAACCACCACCATCAGTAATAATTTAGGTTTATCGAATTTGCCATTCACCGCACAGAACGCTTGGCAGGGTTATCATTTAATACAACAGCCCGGTAGTGTAGGTACTGTCCTAGATCCTATTGTATAAACTTGGAAACTGAGTTTCAGGAGGAGAAAGTTGCAAATCTAGCAAGTGACAGAGCCAGGATTTGAACCCAGTGCGGTTAGTAACCATCATAAAAAAAAAAAGACTGTTGAGCTCTTCTCCCACTAACTTCATTTTCTCAGAATAGTCATACTACCCACATGTTCCAGGATCACAGGACCCCCGTATAGGGTTTCTGGGAGCTGCTGGCTTGAACTGCTGACCTTCAGGTTAGTAGTCCAGTGCTTATCCATCAGCACCACATCAGGACTCTCATAGCAGATGTTGTTAAGTGCTGTCAAGTTGGTTTTGACTCATAGCTGCCCTGTGTAGGGTTTCTGAGGAGCAGCTGATGGGTTTGAATTGTCAACCTAATGATTGCAGTTCAGTGCTTATCTTATAGCACCACAGTAGGTACTTTACACGCTTTTTATTATTGAAAAGTTTGTCCAAACCTTCTCTTTCCCGCGATGAATTGGGGTTGTTGTTAAGTGCCATTGAGTCGGTTCTGACCCACAGCACTACATCAGGACTCCTTAGTTTGGGGTAGGAACTAGCTTATAAGGACTCCTGGTCTGGTGCTATAGGATAAGCGCTGGGCTGTGAACCACAAGCTCTGTGATTCAAACCCACCAGCTGTTCTTCAGAAAGCTAAGAGTCAAACCCAACTCTACAGCACTTAACAACAATAATACTATTTTACAAAGTCTCTCTTACCACCCTGTATGGAATCCTGGTGTGACGCTGTAGGATAATCACTGGACCGCAAGGTTCTTTTAACAACAGGGTGGGCTGTTCAAAGTTACCAGTTGCTCCTCAGAAACCTTTTACAAGGTCTCTGTGAGTCAGAGCAACTCGATGGCGCTATTAACATCAGCAAGTCCCTGTGCACGGTGTGTCAACTAATGTTTTCTTTATAGCGGTCATGATGAGTTGGAATCAACTCCCTGACAGTGGGCTTTGTTTGTGTTTACTCCCCGCATTGCCTGGTAAGCACTGCCCTTTGGCCTCCATAACTGCCAACATTTGGGGCACAGTAAATATGAGGGGCTTTTAAAAATTTGTGTGGACTGTAGGTGGAATCCTGAGCCCCATCCAGAACCTTCTGAGGTGGGACATTCCCACT